AGTAATTTTTGTTATTGTGTTAGTAACTTTATTACCCCGGCCGGCCTAACTTCTACTTAACTTGTTATTAACTTTATCTTTGCTTTGTTCATATTTAACATGTTTATCATGGTTGTGTAAATATTATATAACTCTTCCAAATCCTTATTCACTTTATAGAACTTATAAGTCGTTTATCATGGTTATAAGTACTTATAATGTCTTACCAAACACTTCCATGGTACTTATGACATGAATATAACTCTTCCAAGTTTCGCAATGTTCTAACAACACAGCAACCGATCCAAGCGGTACATCGAACTTGTCGATAAATGCTGGCTGCAGCGCTTGCCATCGCCCCCTATCCTGGGCGACCTCCCCCCCGTGAGTGCCCGCAATGCTCTCCAAAGCTCGTTCCACGTCCCCACCCGGGTTGAAGCGGCCGGCATGGCGGATTTGCTGGCTTCGGGGCTTCTGCTGTTCCTGTCTCCAGAATCGCAGATCCTTCCATTTCAGCATGGCATTGACTTCGTCCCCCCCTCGTGCGAGGTGCCCCCGCAGGGTCCATATGCGGGAGAGGATGTACGTGGACCATCTCAGCGCCCCCTCTCTGTGAAGGTGCATTCTGGCAAGGCGCAGCGTGCGTGCTTGCCACGCCCCCCACTCCTCCGTTGGGCGTCGTTGCATGTGTAGCATCCCCCTGAGTTGGACTACTTGGACGGCGTTAGCGGCTCGAAGGAGCTGTTGCTGGGCTGGCCAGCTCTCCGCTGCGTACAGGGCCGAGTTCCGGACTAAAGCTGTGTAGGCCACCAAACGCTGCTTAAAGCTGGTGCGTGCTGTCAGGACGGCTTTGTGTTTTGCAAAGGCGGTGCGAGCCCTTCTGGCCATCTCCGCGACCAGGGCTGTCGTCTGTTCCCCGAAACATAGAGGGGAGCCGAGGACAGCAATGGTGGTGCCATGTGGCTGGCACGCCACCCGTTCCCCCTTGATGGTGAAAGACCCCCCCCCCTGTCTTCTCGCTGCAGTATTGCTCTCTTGGTAGGGTGTATTTGCAGTCCGTCGGCCTGCAGTTCTTCCTCGAGCTTGGTGAGGAGGGCTTGGAGGTGCGTGGCGTCCTGGCTCCACAGGTACGTGTCATCGAGGAAAGACCCCCCGCTTCTGGGTGGTGGTGGTCCCCCCTGTGCGTCTGGCCCGAAAAAGGTCCGGAGAGTCCGGCGATCCCTGTCGGATGCCGTTGCTTTGTGGGATTGGTGTGATGGCGTCCCCCACCGCCACGTTTAGCGACCTCGTCTCGAGCAGGCTGAGCCAAAGCTGGGCTTCCCATGGGCACGTCCCCCCGTCGGCTGGGATGGGAAAGCGGTGGGAGGGGACCCCGCCCACCTTGGCCGCCACCAGTTCACTGAGTGTGTGTTGCCAGATGCTGTCAAAGGGCCTTACGTATGTCAAGTTTGACCACCCACGTCGTGACCCCCCCAATCCCGCGACATCTGTATCTGGCCCATTGGAGGCCCTCTCCCCCGGCTCGCACCATGTCCCCCCCTCGCAGGAGCAGTAATTGGGCTGCCCATTTCAGCAATGTGGAGCTGAATGTGATGGGTCGTGTATCCCCCCAATCGACGGGGCGGGGGATCTTGGGAAGGAGTACGGTAATGCTTGGCTCGATCCCCCCTGGCACGTTGCCAGTGTACAACATGTCGCTGAGCAGCTCCTGTATGCGCCCCCCCCATTTAGCGTCCCCCAGCATGGCTTTTGCTGCTTCGTGAAAGACGTCCGGTCCAGTACTCTTGTTGTGGGCCCAGGATTGGGAGGTGTGCTGGAGCTCCCCCATCGTGAAGGGTTCCCACGGGGTGACTTTGCACCTGGCTCTGAGGGATGTCCGCAGTGCTTGTTGTTGGTGGGTCGCCTCTGCTGGTTGCGGTTTCGCGAAGATCCCCTTCATGTCGAAGTACCAGCCCCTGTGGGTCTGCGACTGCTGGAGGGATCGGTGCCCTCCAATCCAGCGCCGCTCGTTCGGCCATTTGTTGCTTCCACTGGCGCTGCTCTTGGCGGCGTAGGCGACTGACCCGTTTCCATGCTGTTTTGGCCGCCCCCCCCTGGTGTCGACTGATGGGCTTGTTGTCGGGCCCTTGCTAATTGCTTGCTCTCCCTGAACGTGTTGGTTCCCCCGCCTGGCACCGTAATGGCTTTGGTGAGGCTGGAGAGGGTATAGTGTGGGTCCTCCCCCTGGGGGGGGGCACGCTGAACAGGGACTGGACATGGTGGGGGGCGCGCAGCCGTCTTGGCCCCCAGGTGGAGCGGGCCCTCAACCCGACTTTGTGGGAACCCAAGGGCACAGCCACCCCGTCGTGATCCGAAGCTGCGCGGCCTCTGCATTGCACCACCTCTCCGGGACCGGTGGTCACATCTCTAGTACAGACGTAGTCGAGGCGCCGCGATTGCATGGCGGTATTGTAAGGGTGATAGGTGGGTGTGGTGAGCTGCTGGGGGGGAAGGCGTAGGCCCTGCAACCAGCCAGTTGAGCACCACTTCCCCCCGTCCTGTTGTGGCATAGCATCCCCTCGCAGCAGTCATCGGTGGCTTGAAGATCTCGTTCGCATCCATGCCTAGGACCAGCTTGCCTGGTCTAATTGTCTCCCCCCAGGTGTCCAGCAGCTGTTCTGTCTGCGGGATGGTGGCGTGATGTGGTATGTGCCCGGATAGGACCTGAATTTTGCTGTGCGTCGTAGCAAGTGTCGTGGTGATAGCCCCTTGTAGTATCTGCGTCTGGGTGTGCTTGTATACGCTCTTGTGTGCAACTGCTTCCCCCCTGAATTCCCCCTTCATCTTCCCAAAGACTATCTGCCAGTGATCAGATTCAGCATGTTTGGCCCCCTCGTCCGTGATGACTTCTTGCAGCATCACAAACTCGAAGCGCTCACAGTGGGCATCTCCCCGGAAGCTTTCGAGGACTTCCAGCACTTTGTCGGCCGTTAAGCCCCCAACGTTCCAGCTGAGGCACCAAAAACTCTCTCTCTCTCTCTCTATCTCTCTGTCTGTCTGTCTGTCTGCCTGTCTGTCTGCCTGTCTGTCGGTCGGTCGGTCGGTCCGTCAGCCGGTCGGTGGGTCGGTCGGTCGTCTGTCTCTATACGTATATATGTATATATTGGTTGCCTTGTCTGTATATATGCTGTACACGTGTATGCGTCTGTCTGTGTGCGTATATGTGCGGGGTCGCCTTCCAAACATACACACGGTGCCAAAAAAACGGCGCACAACGAGAATGATTATCTGAGCGCATATGAAATTGTGGAACACCGCGCTCCAATTAATCGTCGTCTTCTCAACCTCAAGGCCTGGTGCATGCAGAGTAATTTCCTTTAGTGCAGATTTTTCAAGATGCCACTGTTGGTTCTTGCTTGCCGGGGCGCCGGCACATTTATCTAGCTCTTGAACCCAGATTTGAATGCAGTCCTGGATAGTTTCAGAAACCAATAATTAAGAGTCCTGAAAGTTGAGTCTCGTGAAGCAAAAACGAACAACAAGTCTTTCGACGTTTGTTGTTATATATGATCTGATTCCACGACGATTGGCAGATAGGCGAACCGTTTGCACCATCTCTATTGCTAGTATACACTTCTGAGTTCAGTGCTCGTACAGGCGAGTTTGCCAAACACAGCTCGACATGCACATCCTGGTTCTGAAACTCTATGGCTGAATATCTTGGCGCAGCATACAGAATCAGAAGAACGCTCAGCCAGCATGCAGAATTCGTGAACAGATTCTTCTGCTACTGCCGCACCAAGATTGCAGTACAAAGGGTAGAGATGTGCATGCCTAACTCCTATCACCAGCATTCATCACACAGCTGACCAAAAACTTGTCTTTTGCACCACACATTTTTTACGATAGAAGATAAAAATCCGGGTCCCTGCGAAGACTGTAGTCTACGGCCCCAAACGGCTGGTAGAATGGCTCCAGCAACCTACTGTGTGCAAAGCGGGGGCCTGCAGCAACAGTGCGCCCAGACGTGCTCGAGCAGCTTCGCTCAGCAGGCGAGCAGTCCAGACCGGCAAAAGCAGCCACGGCTGCGGAGGGAGGCTGGCGTGGTGCTGATGCATGCCACCGACTGCGAACACCGCACGGGCAGCAACTCGGTTTCGACGAAATGGTCGGAGCAAGCACGGGCCAAATGTTGGAGAGCTCATAGTCAAGCATCGAAAAGATTAAGCATAAGATGTGATTTCACGCTGAAGTTCCATGACGGCAGTACAACTGACTATGTAGCAAGACGAGCTGCTTGTCTGGAAAAATACTTCAGATTTGTCAGGGTAGCAATGGACTCAAGCACACGTAGCCCGAAGAAGCACAACGATTGTCAAGTCACATTTGTTCCAGATGTGCATCACAAAAACCATGTAGTGATCTTAGATCTTTATGACTGCAGGATCAATGCTGTGTGGGAGTTCGCAAGAAACTTACAGAATGTGGAGTCCGGCAACTTCTGGATTTCGTGCAATGGTGTCAAGTGCGTGATATGACCGCATCTGCATTTCGGGTGTGAGATGGTGTGAGTCATACCGGAAACAGGCCTCGGTTCTGGCAAGAAATAAAAACTGTAGAAACTGGCACTTACATGATTCTGGATGACGACTTTGGCTGCGAAGAGGTGTAGAATTTTGGTATTAGTGGATATGGACTCGCACCATATGTTTGTAACCTAACGCACTCGAAAGCTTGCCTCTGCCTCAGCGATTGGGACATATTGGGATTCCCTTGTGCCGGCATGAACGGTGTTAGGATTTTTGCAACAGGCCACAGGCAATAGGCATTGCAGGCCATCATTGTTACGAGTATAGGCGAGCCTTAAGTTTTACAGAAAACGTAAAAGCAATACAACTAGTCACTTGTGACTTTCCTGAAATCATGTCCACAAATTTCTAGAGGTCAATGCGGTGAGACAATCGCAAATTTATGTTCTGCTGTTTGTTTGGTGTCCAGGTTCTCGGAGGTTTCTGCAGCTTTCATGAGGCTTGGTGCAGGGCGAATCAACTGCTCCGTCATCTTTGCATGCTTGCCTGAGTGAAGGCATGCCACCTTTCCAAAAGTACCCACAAACATCACGAGTCATGGACAATGCTGGCAAGATGCTTCCTGGTGCGCCTGCATAATAGTTGACGAATGCCCTTGGCAGCCACCCATCCTGCCACGCGGCGTTCCCCCCTAAGTTCCTCGCAATGTGCTACGTCGCTCCGCTGCAGAAGTAACAAACCCTAAATGTAGCGACCTCTCCCTGCCCGACTAAAACGATGTTGCTAGCGCTGCGCAAGACGAAACAAGGTGGGAACAAGGTCTGAGCTGAGCGGGGCACGCCTTGTCCACCAGGCGATCGTAATTCTTTGCGAATCGAGCATCCAGCCGTGCCTGCATGAGCTTCTGCATGGAACCTAAGATATTCAATTGCTCAGGCTGCCTGGGTCATGCCGATTTTATCGGTTATTGCTACTCTCCACAGACAAACAAAGACAACAAAACCTCTGGTGTTGTGCAGTCGGGCTTCTGAAGGCAAGCCTGTGAGGTCCGGCCGCAAATGCCTCATCCTGGGCAGCTCGCTCCTGCAAGCTGACCGGGTGGACTGCACAGCGACACAAGACCTGCCACCGTGCCTCCCATGCTTTGGAACAGAAAGGCTCCACCGCTTCCCATAGAGCTTGGTCCTGCTGCATAGTCGCAACACGCTATGCAACCGACCGTCGCCACGGCTGGCCCCAACCTTCGGCCCTCGGCTTTTTGCGGCCTGCGCACTTGCGCACAAACCGTGTGTCCGCTCAGAGCCTGCAATGGCAAGCTAGCGGCTCGCCTCAAAGATCTCGCACGAGGCAATGAAGCGAGAACCGCCCTTGTCGGCCACTTGCTCATTTAGAAGCATCCTTGGATCTCTCAACACATCCGCGGCATACGCAGCATGCCGAAAATGGCCAACTCGCTTGAACCGTAACTGGCGACTCAGTCACGGGTTCAGCTGTTTTTCGAAGAGGCCTCAGTTTTCGCAGCATGCGGCCTGCATTCAGCCGTGCACTCTCTAGATCTGCCGAGTCTCTCCCGTGTTTCACCAGACACTGGCAATGCTTCCCATCTTCACCTGGCACAGGATCTCCAAGAGTGTGCACATCGCACCTAAGTTCCAATCTTGCCAACTCGTGACGACAGCTCTCTGGTCTTTCCATACATCCCTAGCGTTGCCCCTGAAGCTAGCCCGAGTCACTTGACCGTGAAAATCTGCTCGGGCTTCTGGGGGCTGATGAAAGTCCACTTTTGGTCATGTCCCCACCTCAGCCCCGCATTATCTCTCCAAATACTTCAATCAGACTTGGTGTTGCCACACGGCATCGTGCTTCATGATCAAAGCTGCCTATGTCAAGAAACTAAGTTCTCGGCCTGACTGCATTGTTGCACTGGCACTCTTGCCATTGATTTGAGCAAAAAACCCAGTCAGCGTTCTCCATTGCCGCCCTTAGCCCAATGATTACAATGGCATTGCAGCACGAAGTACTTACCACTTCTCAAATGCAGTCTGCGAACTGGTTGAAGTCAACCTGCTGCAGCGACGTTGGGAGCTGAGAACTGCAGGGCAAGTTGGATGCAGGCGTCAACGAATTATGGGCATGGCCATGAAACCGACAACGACCTTGCCTAAATGAACTTCCGCGAACCACATGACCTTGACACCTTATATGCACGGCGAAGAGGCATTGTCGTCTTCCCCATTCGACACGGAATCCCCGGACCGGATGCATGCAACAAAATTCTGCCAACAAGCTGGCAATGCTTTCCGTCATCGCCCGGAAGCACATCATGTAGATGATCAATACTGCACCTCGATGCAATCAGAACGTCTCCATGCACGGCACTGCCTTCACAAACGGCACAGTAAGTGCATCCATGTTTCTGCACGGTCAAAAGCGATCCGTCTGCTGGTGGATCCAGCACCTTCCAAGTCTCGTGGTTGCCCCACCTGTCGGTGACAGCGGCATGCGAATAATCATACAAAACTGCCTTGCACAAGGGTAAGCAGCCTGACACGGCCGTTGCATGTGCACTCCTTGCAACATGCTCAGAGATGAGATTGTTTTGATGTAGCATGGACAGGAATTTCAACTTGCAAGACAGCATAGACCGCAAACATCCCAAACAGGATAACCACTGAGAGTCCCAAGGCCCAAGGCCATACCATGAGTCCAAACTGTGCAACACCGGGGCGGGAGCACGCTGGTCACCACGGATGCGAATTCAAGCTGTCTCGCTGGTGGCCCCCGAAACACATCCTCGTACATTCTTGTTCCGCTCAATCCGTGCTGTGTCGTACGGACCTGCGAGCGCGCTTGTAGACTTGCAGCACGCCCCGGTGGCAGAACCCACTGTCAGGTGGCGGCAAAGCATCGTACTGTGGATGGAAAACGATGCGCACCCCAAGCCACAAAGGGCACTGTGACGGGGGCACTCTTGCAAACACCCCTTTAAGAGGAGCCCATTCCCTTAGCCCCTATTTGGGGCATCGTGCATGTTATAAGCGATACGGAAGCGATGAACACACGAAGCACGCTGCAAGCCACCGTTGAAACTTGTCCACAGCCAAGAGGTCTGCACCCTGGTGTCCTCCCATTGCTTTGCACAGAACTGCCAGTTGTGTGCCGAGACATTGGATTCCTGCAACCATGGGAGAATGTGATCTCATGAAATCCGACACTGCAGTTTTCAGAAATAAATGCATTAGCTGCAAAATTCTTCCCTGGCTCGGACACGACCCAAAAAAGCAATGCCATCTTGCCCAGTTTCTAAGAGACTTGGCTGGATGTCGCTCCTTAGAATGGAACAGCAAAATCGCAAAAAGGAAGAAGACAAGTGATTTGAAAACGCGAGCCGTGAGTCTGCAAGGGACTTTCTCTACGAAGGATTGCAGCACTTGGTGTGACAACGATGGACACCAGCGGCCAAATCCTGCAAAGCTGCGTAACAGTCCCACCCCTACCACGATCAGCTCCCTATCTCGCACCACATGAAATTACATCCATTGCACAACAACATGCAACGACAAACATGGCCGGCTGACCTGCGACAGGGTAGCCTGAGCCGTGTGTGGCACAGAACAAAACAAGAAGCCACACATGAACATGCGATTGCTTTTGCAAACTCAGGGGCATGAGGTAATCGCAACCCTGGCACGATATGGAAGGGCTTCTACATTTGAGTAACGCTCGAAACGGCTCCTCAAAGCAAGCATGGTGCAGGCAAGTTCTGCCATGACATGCAATCGCGACGCGCGCAAACGATCTACCCATGCTGACCTGAAATACTTGGATTAGTTAGAGAAGTGAGGAAATCCAGGGTCAAAGCTAATAGCTGGACAGAGAGACGGCAACGTAAGTATATAATTCATGGTTTTTTACATGTCCTGCAAACATGCGATGGACAATAAACAACCACAAGAAACACGCCGTTGCGTAAGCGGCAGTGTGGTGGTACAAATGCCAAGATGTCCATGGAAGAGGGTTCCGAACACAAGTCGCGGGCGCATTGATGCAAAGGTGGGCATGGAGCCACAGAAACCGCTCTAAGCAGCGGTAAAGCTTGACGATGCGATCACTGGGGGCCGATTTGTAGATTTCGTCTGGGGCTCGGTTTGCAATGCCTACTGCGGGCAAAAGGAGGTGCCCTTGTTCACTTTCTTCGGCCTGGGGCGGTGGGAACGGCTGCCTGCACCCCATGTAAGCCAACTGATCCAAGTCTGGTTGCAAAAATGTGCCATGTGCTTCGCTACCGAGCGGGATAATGATAATTTCTGTGCACATCCCTGTCACCCACCACCCCTTTTCTGAAAAAACAACTGGACATTAGTGTTCCATTGCTTTTCAATGAGAATTTGTTGTTCGCGCCTTTTTGCATCTCAGATGAACAATTTGCAGAGCAGCGTCGACATTCGATTGGAGCAACTGGATAAAATGGTGTGTGGTCAGGGGGTGCGGATTGAGAAGTTAGAGAGGGTTCTTCAAAATATCTTGGCCAATGAGAACACACAAAACAAGTCCACCAATACCCAGCTGGATCATATGCAGCAACAGCTGGATCAGCTCCAGTCGCGAGTTGATGCCTTCAACACGGTTTCATCTTCACCGACGACGCCTACAGACATAAGCAAAAGTTGCACCATGGTCGTGGGAGGGTTACACCATCTTGCAACATTGCATGCAGCGACACAATGGCTATCAGACAAACTAAATGCTCTGCGAGGACCTATGCACCTTCGCACGTACATCAAGTCAACTTCGTTTAACGGGTTTGTGTTCGCCAAGTTTGCCTCCAAGCTAGAACGAGACACAGCTGTGGCTTTGCTACGCAGCGTCAAATTCAACGAAGGCGACCAAACGGTGTGGGCAACACAAGATCTTCCTCCCAACGTTCGTGCTCGGAAGCTTTTCCTCCTGGGGCTTCGTTGGCAGCTTGGGGAATGGGGGTTCGTGAAGCGGGAGATCCACATGGATGAGAGTTATTCCAAATTGATGATCGACCACTTGATCTTACAAGTTTCGGACAAAGCCGATGGTGTTTTGCAGATGGCTTGGTCAAAAGAGTGGGCAAACTGGGAGGAATTTCAGCAAGCTCTCGAGCTACACAAACTTGCAGAGAAGGCCAATGCGATTTTGGGGAAGCATACAAAAGGGGCAGGCAAAAGGAAGAGCAAAAGCCAGGTCCTGTAGGGACTCGGGCACATGGGAAGGGTTTCACTGCCACTGCATGGTGGCACCCCGATTGCAAGCGCAGGTGTCGACGTCGACGTGAGACACCCGTCGAATTCACAAAGTTTTTGCCGAAGTTCCCTTTCTGCGCAGCAGTTCCGAGGGGGCAGCTTGAAAGTTTCTGGAGGTCTATTTCGCGTCGCAACATGGAACGTTGAGGGGCTTACGCAACAACAAGTTATTTGTTTACAAGAGACACACCGAGAAGATTCAGACGTGCAGATTACTGACGCGGGTTTCCTGTTGATTTTATCAGGTCAAGCCGAGACCGAAGTAGCTGAGACCGCAGGGCCGCAGGGGTGGGTTTTTTATTGTCGCCACATGTTCGCCGCAACTTGGTGGGATTTCAACAACCTTCAGCTCGTATGGCTCGTATCAAAATCCGAGGTCCCGGTGGCAAATTGGTTCTTTGCAAAATTTATGCACCTCACAACGGCAAAGATTTTGCCGTGAGACACGCTTTTTCCCGGAATGTTGCAACATGGTTGACACAGCAGTCCCGTCACCGGCCCTTGTATGTAGTGCGCGATTTCAACGCCCGTATCACAAAATCTTTGATGAGGAAGCTGATTCCAGATGTTTGGGTCCATATGTGTTCGGACAGACATCAGCACACGTTGATGCACAATCAAACCGCAGCTTTTTGCCTGAACTTTGTCATGCCCATGATCTCGCGGTTGCGAACACGTTCAATCACGTTCATGGAACAACCTGCTTGTCGACAAGTTACTGTTTACAACGTGGGAGTTCACCAGTTGACGAGCGCACATTTTGGGCAGATTGATTTCGTTTTGGTACAAAGAGCATGGTTGGGCACTGTTCGGCAGTTGTATTCGGACATGAACGTGGCTCTTGCATCACATCATTTCGCCGTCATTGCTGACTTACAGATTGCCGTCCCCAAAGTCGTCAAAGAGATGATCCCGAAGCATGCATTCGACTCTCGTGTTTCCGTTTCCGCACTTAATGCAGTTGAGGTGGCGAACCGCTTTGCCTTGTTTGACGAGAACATGAGCAATCACGAACATCATGAACTTTCCATCGATGATTTTTACCATGTCATGTCTGATGCTTTTCATCACGCCGCTGATAAATGCTTGCCACAACGTGCGCGTATTGCCAAGTGGCCGTGGATTTCAATCGAAACTTTGTCCCTACTACAGCGACGAGATGATGCACGGTTTTCAAGGGATGCTTCTGCAGAGCGTGATTTGTCCAAACAAATCAGGCGTTCCGTTGCTGTAGACCGCATTGCTTGGTTGGACCAATTATTGCAATCTGGTGATTGGAACGAAATCCGAAAGCTACGCAAAGGATTCGCACCCAAATGTGGACGCTTGCGCGACGATGACGGCAAGGTTGTGGAAAGTGAACTTCACGCAGAGTCACTGGCGAACTATTTCCAGGACGTACAATGGGCCGTTCGTCCCGTCTCAACTGCAGCTACTGATAGCCCGATTGGCTTGCCCGTGCCAGTTGACACGGGGCCGTTCAATGATGACGAGATTATTGCAGCAGCCTCACGTTTGCGGCGCAACAAAGCGACAGGAAACGACCACGTGCCAGCAGAATCCTGGAAAACTATTTGTCGCAAAACTTCTCCCGCGTATAGATGGGCCACTACCCTTCGCAACGCAATCCGTGAGCATGTGATGGTGCCATCTTCGTGGCATGACGCTTCTCCGTAGCCATTTTGGCTCAAGACCAGCCGCACTCCAGCTTGGGTTTTGAATCATCTTCAGCAAAACAGGCCAGGCTGGCTACTGTTACTATTACTACTACTTTCACTGCTCAAGATTAAAACTAAAACTATCATACTTGGCCTTCGGCCGTGCCATGGTTTACGACACCCTCCTGTGAGGGCATAGTCAGCTGCTGCTCCCCTCTGTGTGTGTGCTCCGCCGCCGTAGCGGGATAATAAGTCGGTGCAAGAAGTCATGCCACGGGATATGTCGCGGACGCCGATGCTGTACAGGCGGGCGCGAACTGGGACGCCTGGCCGGGTAACTCCCCCTGTCCAAGGTGCACACGTGCGTGCGAGTAGCTCTGATGCTCATGGCGTCTGCAATGCTAATCCTGCTGTCGGGGCTTGTGCTGTTGACGTGTCCGTGGCACGTTGCATTGTGCCGGATCTGGACTTTGTTGGTGGGCCCTGCAGTAGCGAGCCTGATTGCCCTGTGTGCCCGATTTGCTTTTGCAGCGTGGGAGACGCGAGTGAACCTGTGTGGAGTTGGCCATGCCCGTGTCAGATGAGGTTGCATCTGAATTGTGCTGTTCAGTTGCGCCTCAGCAATAGTCACCCATGTTGCCCCCACTGTCGATGCAGATGGCCAGGGCCCAATGCTGATCTGCAACTTGAAAATGCTTGCCGCGCCAACGGTGTTGAGATCATTCGTGATTGGCAGCGTGGTCCATCGCAGGCACCTGTGATTGAGGAACCCGGCATGCCTCCTGAACCGAATGATCTTGTTTTGTTATGTTGTGAGCGGCTCATCACAGTTGACATTGCTGCTAGGAGCCGCCGCATGGAATGGGCTCCGGAGCAGGTGTACGACACTGTGGGGCATGGTTGCCGTAGGGTTGTGTCGTGGGTTGGTGACTGGGTATGCAATTGTTGTGGCCGCACGTTCAGTCAGAGCGATCCCATGTTGCAGCTGCTTCGCGATGGACATTCGTGTGGCATGGGTGCGGGGTGCCGCCTGACTATTGATTTCAAGCAGGGTGTTTTTACCTGGATGTGTGGTGAATCTGGTCCCTTGCCCTCGCTTGCTGCGGTTCAGCTTGGTGAAGTTGTTGTGAGGGATGTCGAAAGCCTTCGTGGCCAAACTGGGACTGCTGAAACGCGGAGCTTTCTGACAGCACTGCCTCC